GTGTATATTTTTGCGAGAAATAACTGAAGACTTACATTATGTATTTCGTATACAAAAGAGAACTCACGGTTGTGCCATATGGAACGGGAGTTTTACAGCGCAAATTTCGGCAGATACATTGCGATCTGCTGAGAGGCACGAATGCACAAGCCCATCTCTCATGTGACCCTTTTTTAGTTCAAAGTGCAGCCACCCTCTTTCTTTTTAAAATCGTATTTGAATCTAATTTTCACAGCGAAACCACAGTCACGCGAGCAGATGACATCAGCAGACAAAGGAATGTTATTTCTTCTGGAAGGTTCGTTCGTTTCGTGTTTCATGAGACGTTTCGCCGGTGGCGAGACCAATGCGACGTGTCTCATTTCATTTCTGACGTCAGCGAAGGCAGATCCATTCGCAGGGCGGTGTCAAGTGAAACGCATATTTCGTCATGTAATTTAACCTCAACTGCGACGAGGAAATAAAATCTATTGGCAGGAATTTCTAACGAAGGAAAATTCCAACCAGCCTGTTCACACTGAACTCGCACCTGCTGATATTCCAACAATCTCCTGTCTTCCCCAGTTTTCTGCGTTATCACGCCTTTTATAACCGGTTAGTGAAAAAAATGTGTTTTGCAAAAATTACTTTATTCAATGCAAATGTAAAAGGAATTGTTAAAAATTTGCATGACTTGTTAAGAAAAGAATTAGTACTTTGAAAAAGTACATCAAGATCGTTTCATCGATATAGTTGGTTTTACAATTCTTAGCTATTTACACGTCTGGAATTTTTGAAAATTGCAAAAGTGACACCTTTTTTCAACGTCAAGTACGTTATCGAAAAAAACATATTTTTACTTTCTCGCTACCGCTTAGAAGAGATAAAGTTATATAATGCTGTGAGAAAAAGCGGACAATTTTCGGCAGAAAACTCTTGTTACTGGGCCCTGGTAACGAAACCGTGGATAAATCCAGTTTCTAAATTTAGGAAAAAATCCTATAACACGTGGTGTAGCCAGAATTAATGTTTATGGGTCCTTGATGCCGAAAAATCGAATGACGGCAAAACGTATGTCTGTCCGTCTATCTGTGACGGCCAATCTGTGACGGTCCGTTTGATGACGGCCAGCTTTCAAACCGTTCTACCAATTTTCTCCAAAATTAATATTCTCCAAATTAGTATTCTCCAGTTTGGCAGACCTTTGAATTTGAAACTTTTTATTGTTGAGGGGTTCACATGAAGCCCTTGGGACAAAATTTTCAAAAAAAATTGTGCCAAAAAAAAAGGTGCCAAAAAAATGGTTCAATTTTGGTATTGGATAGTGTGAAGGACGTTTAAGAGAATGGTGCAGATCTCCTTTGCGTTAAAAACTGATTTTTCAAAGATTGCAAATATTTAATTATTTTCCGTCTTCCTAGAACTACAATTATGATGGTAGAGGTTTTTGCCTTAATTAAATCTATTCCTTAAAGATAAATTTTTAAATACGGAAATGTTGAATTTTTCTAAAATTTGAGTACTTTTCGCGTACTTTTGCGTGAAAGTACTGGAAGGAAAGTAGTACTGTTTTAGCACTAGTTCTTAAAGAAAATTGTTCTTCAAAATTAAATATTTAAATAATGACAATTTAAAAAATACGTAAGCATGATATTTTCACAAAACGTCTCCACATTTGCTCCTTAATCTTACTCGAATAGAGCTATGTTCCCTTAATACAATTGTCCGATTTTCATTAATACCTCTTTAAACTATTAACATTTTTCGCATTGTTTTCTATAGGTTCATCAAATACCATCAGCAAGTCTGTTGCAAGTTCGCAAGTTGTGCATCTGATGCAAGTTCGTTACATGCGGATCGTGAGTGCCAGTGTTCAAATTAAATTCAATTAAATTCAATAATGCTTTATTTTCGGCGAAGCTCAGGTCATAAGGCCTTCTTTGGCCTGACCACGCAAATTCCGTTACGCTCCTCTCACCAGCTGACAGAGGAAGGAAGTATCGCTCGGGCGATGACACAGGCGATTTGAATTTTACCCAGAGGCTTATTTCAGCATTGAGGATCATTTACAGGAAGTAAATCTACAAGTTAGGACCGGCTTTACCTCCTCACAGAAGGAAGACGTATGAAGGACTTTTTCGTTCTTAAAATACACGGCTTCAATTGTGTTTGGAAATGCGAACTTGGGTCTAACAATTCGATACGCAAACCGTTGCACCACCGAAGCCACTAAAATTACCTTACGACCAAAAATTGTTGTGGGTTGGAAAGACTTTTACAGTTTCACTTATAGTAATATAGCATAATTTCACCGGTATTGTAGTAATATGGCGTAACCGTTATAAATAATTCGAAAAAAATTGCTTCTGTAGCACAGCTAGTTTATTTCATTTCAATAATGGTAAGGCACGGCAGAAACAAGGACAGGCAGAATATATTGCGTAAGAAAACTGAAAATATGGCTCTCTGACCGATAAACATAAAAAAATGAATTTAACGAGAAAAACGCATACACTGCACCTGAAGGAAGTAGTTTCTTAAAACAGCCACGGGGTCTTACAATAGGTATAGGACTGTAACTTTTATTATCAAACGGTTTTGGTGGTATGCACTCTCTTCTCTTGCATGCAAGAGCTAAAATGCCATCTCACTACCGCAGTTGTTTTCGTTTCGAGATACATCGCGCGGATGCTTAGAAATTGAAGAGCTCCATTTCCACGACAATCACAGAGCCGCAATGCCAGCTGTGAAACCCTTCGCGTTGAAGGCCGGAACCGCAGGTCATAATTCAATATTGAAGCGTTGCTCCGGCACGGGACGGCGCCGGAGACACCTTCGGGACGCTGCTGTTGACGTTCTCTTCTCGCCACCCGAAACCCCGACGCGGGTCGTAACGTTTTCTGCGTCCGATTCTCCCAGCTGCGGATGGCGGCTGCGGATATTGTGAACGCCGTTTGTGAGGCGGAATCTACGTTATTGCATTTCCGGCGTGCGAGAGGTCGGCAGGCACGGCGCCTCAACGCGGCGGTAGAGTGGGCGGGGAAAGCGGGGGTGGGAGGGTGTCAGGGGACGGTGGTTGGAGAAGACGGGCCGTGGATGTATTGGTAACTGAAAAGGCGGAGGCAAATGGGGACAAGGAAGGTGCCGTGGTCGAAGAAAAATGTGAACGTGATGTTGGAGAAGCAAACAAAAATTGAGATGAAGTTGATAGGGCGTGCAGATTACCATCGTAGCAGTTTAGGCATAGTCGACTGATGAGAGAAGGCGCCGATTATGCTAGACAATTTATTTTTCTCAGAAGACCGGCTGACCGGCAAGTTCTAAGAGTTCGATTCCCGAGGGTGACGAATTTTCGTCATTAGCTAGATAGGCCTAATTTTCGTCACCAGCTAGGTATGTTGAATTCACTCGCTGCTAGGTCTCGAGCTCTTTGCTACTGTGATCTGTATTTATCGTTTTTTAAATTTAATTTTAATTTTATTTATATTAGGTGAATGCCGAGCAGTAATCTTACAAAACGGGAACCGCGTGAGATCTTTCCTTCTTCACCTTTGTCCTCTTTCTCTCTCCTTTCACGCACACATACACACACACACACACTTACATGCACTGGAGTACAACACATGTTAAAATACTAGTCAGAAGATTAGAACTTGGCCCGGCTGGAGCGTTGCTCTGATGGGGAAGATACCTGGATAGGGAAACCCGTCTAGACGAGAGTATGTCTGCACCAGATCTCACATTCCAGCGAGGGAGAAACTTCCTCGCTGTCACTTCCTAGCATGTTACTCTCAGTACGGGACTAATAACCATAGAAAATGAGACGCCAGGAAGCAATCAATCACAAATCAAAACAGTCGAACCTCCAATATTGTAACAGAAGGTCCTAAAAGATCTTACTTTTGATTTCGATTACGATCTAGGCTTGTGGAATAGAATTCAATATCTTCGCCTTTGAAAACTTACGTTTAAATCCTGTGAACGTATGAGCTGAGCACGATCAATGTGTCATTAAACGTGTCCCAAATTACATTTGCACCTTCCTGATTTTGGAGCATCCTTCATATTTACCAAGTGTAAATGCAAATGCCGTTTGTCGCTTGTTCTGTACCGATGACACTGCAATAAGTGCGGTAATCACAAGAAAAAATGAAAACTAACACGTCGAAGAGGAGGAATCAGTTTTTCGTGTGAAGGGGAAGTTGATGTGAATGTGAATTTAGAGAGCTATGATTTATTGATTGATTGATTTATTAGAGTCCCGGGTGCGTCAACTGCACAGTTCTCTAGCCCCGTAAATGTACTGCATTTTTTTATCGCGGATGATGGTGCTAATATTCCCCTGCTGAATGGCGAGATCTGTCGCCCAACTATACGTTAACGAGCGGGGTTTTGTAATGTAATGGGAGAGGTACAAGGAAGAGGAAAGTAAAGATCTGGCGTGATCCGTGGCCCCTTTATTATTGTCCAGATCGAGCATTCTCCAGGCGTTGATAGGAGAAACCACAAAAAACTTCTATCATAGATAGAATTCTCCTCCAGACAGCATCTCATCGGTCTACCTAAGTAGGTAATGTCGAAAATCCTGCCGTCGGGACTCGAAGCCTAGGACATCCCGGTCAGAAGCGCTTCAGTGACATCAGTTGATGCCCTTAGCCACCTAAGCCTTTTGGGAGCTAGGGAAGAGGGGAGGTAGAGCAGGAGGAGAGGTGGAAGAGGAGAGGTGGAGGAGGAGTAGGGAGGCGACAGAATGAGTGAAGTGGAGGGGCAAACTTAAAGAAAGCGATTGGAAATGACAGTGGAAAAATACTGGTGCAGGCCTAAGAGTGGGACAGGTCAAGATGGAGGGGATGGAAGGAGCAGCTTGGTTCGCGAGGCACCGCTTGCGAACGGATGTGGGTGGGGATGGAATGCAAGGAGGAGTGGGAATGAGCTGTCGCGTTGGCACGTCACCAGAAGGTTAAGAGGGGCGTCGTGCGGGGCTATAGCAGCAGTGAGTGACGAGTGCTGTCTTCCGCAGGAGGCGCGGAGTGCGAGCAGGTGGTGCAGCGGGCAGGGCGGCCGGGAGCGGGGGGCCTGGCGGACACCCGGCGAGGCTAGCGGCGCCGCCGCTGCCTCCGCCATGGCGGGCCGCAGCCGCCTCCCGCTCCCCGTCTGCGAACCCGGCGCCCGCCCAAGCCGCTCGGCAAGGCTGCTCAGGTAAGCTACTATTCTTCAACTAGAGTGAAACTGTTCTTTATTGTGATTGTAGTAGCTAATAAGTGAGTTTCCTGAAGAAGTTATAAGCAATCATTTATATACAGTCTCTCAATGTAAAGAACATTTTTACATTTAAAAATGTTTAATTAATTAAAAATGAGTACATTTTTTCTATATTGAGAAACTGGAAATTAATGTGTGCTGATTATCCCCGTCATTAGAATACCTTTTCTCGGTTATTGTGAAACGTATCTAAAACGTACCATCTGACAAACGAAAAACGAGGCACGAGGAACGATATTCTCGGAAACGGAAAACTAATATAAAATGTATCCGAAACTAATGGGAAGAGCAACTATTTTTAGATTAAGTTGAAAAAGACGAAATATCATCGTAATGCGCATTTACAGACATCAGCACAGAGCATAATGGGCCCAAACATGTGGCCCAGAAAATGATCAGCCTGGCCTCCATCTTGTTGATCTACATGTCCCACGCCGCCATTCTCTTGCTCTGGGTTTACTCGCGATCCGACCAAAAAAGCGTTCTTTTGATATAAATACACATTATGATGAAACTATTGTTCTTCAACTGTAGAAAATATTGTAAATACTACATTTACTACTACTAGCTTGAAATGTAGAGCTTTTCTATTTCAGATAGAAATTTCAATAACAAAAGTTTTTCTATTTGGTTTATTAATTTAATTAATATTAATGATAATTCAATGCATTCTAACGAGCCTTCACCTTTTTACATGATACCGAATAAATTGAAATGACATACGTTATGCAAATGTTACGGGTGCCCCTTTTCTTAGGTCTACGTAAACCTTTGCAATTCCGTTAATAATTTCTTACACCAACAATCAAGAAAAATACTTTACTCGGGCATTTCAAAATAAATGCGTAAGAAATGTAAGCAGAAACCATGTAGAATATTTTCTTTATGAGTTTCTACCACGACCTACCTATTCTAATTTTATTTATTTATATTCCAGATACATTCATGTCACATCATTAATTGGATGGTATTCATTTTCTATGTATTATTCGTGAAATCTAGAAAGAGTTCGTCGTAAAACCATTAAAAAGGAATTTTAGAATGTAGTAATGTACGGTTCACTGAAAAAATGTATCCATGTCTGTTTGTTAATAATTTAATATTCTCAATAATTTAATATTCTATTGATTTTATATAATTGGTTCTTAAAAATTACACGTGAACATATAATTGCTATTCAATGTACGACTTCCATTTAAATTTGTTTTCATTCAAATATCAAGCAACTTTGAGAAGAAGCTGAGACGATTACTTGTTTGCTCTTTGATTTTATGGAACAGATTCGTCGTAAAAACTGATGATATGAAATTTAAATTTATTTATTGACATTATTATAATTATTATTATTATTATTATTATTATTATTATTATTATTATTATTATTACTTTCTTTTGCAGACTTTTCGGAATACCATATGGAAATATATTGTATCCATTCAATAAAAAATAATTAGTATTTAGCCAGACATGAAGATTCTATACACACAGTAGGTACATGTATTCCCTCAAATATTCTTTTTAATATCTGTCATCTATGATTGTAGCTTATCGCTCCTTTTGTTTATTTTCAGACTCATCAGAAACACGGAAAAATAATTCCTGTGGATACATGCAACCGATATCAACATACGTTGTACGTTCTGCGCAAATAATATTAGTTTCTTAACATTATCTAATATAGTTCGTTCATGATGTGAAATTTTCTCTTTATTTTCAGATTCCACCCATACTGAATTATTTGTATGAGTCAGTGGCGTAGCGATGTTGTATTGGAGCCAAAGCCTCCTTGCACAGTACAAATTACATAATTTGAGCCGTCCAAAAACTATACCGATAATATGTGACCAAGACTGAATAGCTTTCGAAGCACACTTGAAGTTTGATTACTTCTACGTCTAATGTTTTGAGGTAAGTTTCTGTTTATTAGAACTGTGGTTAACTTAAATAAACTATTACATTGTCTAAACACGTTTCGTTATTTACAGATGTTTTCAATTAAAAGTTGATACAGCATTGTTTTGATTTTGAAAAATGTATTCGTACTATGTAATTGTCGCATCACCTCAAAAACCCCATAATCAGTATTACGTAAGAATTGAGCAAAGTTTTATCTGCTACTACAGCGAAGATTGGACCCGTAAATGAACCCCCAAAATGGTTCCAATCATGAGGCAAGTATACACATCGACTGTAAAGCAGATTCAGTATAATTTGTATAATTAAATGTTTTTTAAATGTATATTTCCGTTATTACAGACCAAAAAAATATTAGTCTTCCTTCACAAGTTTCTATTCTTAACGTTAAATTTCATTTTAAAGCATAACATGAGAAGTAAAACAGAAGTAATTAAAAAATATAATGAAACACCGATAATACTCTAAGGATGAACATCTTAAACCAACAGTCATCTTTACTCTTCAATGAACTGCGACAAAATATTTCCTGGTGAGTAATTTCATATTCATTGGGATGCTCACTTGCGGTTCTCAGCTTCAATAATTGTACAGTTTGACTAAATAATCTATCGCTTATTACAGAATTGGGTGATCGCAATTAGAAATATCCTGAGAGGTTGCACATCCAGCTACATTGCCACAAAAACACCAGGAAATACTCCACCTGTGACGCGAATGATATCGGCTGCCCGGGTGAAGCCTCCGACTTCACTTTAGGTGTCTGCTGCCAAATGCTCTTGCTGACGATTTCACCCCTAGTCGGTAAGTACAAACAAGCACTCTTCTTTTGTTTTTGGTTGGAGCGAAATGGATGTGACTATGGAAACATTGTATTTTGGTGAAAGTTGGGTAGATGAAAGGCAATGTTCATCGTGTGGGTAGTTTCATAACAAATAACAGTAATGAAAAACCATCTTCAAAAAAGACAAACAGAATATAATCTAAAAACGAATTGCGGCAAAGAAACGTATAGATGTAAGTTAACACGGCAGCTCGAAATATCACTGGACTGACTAGTTTCAAATTTAAATTCCCGAAGAAATGTCTATTTGAACTAGGCGGACAATGGCACATTTCCCTAAACCGTGTATCTGTAGCTGAATATGTGCTAGATCTAGTACTGATCGGAAATATTTAAGGGGGAGGTCTTTAAAAAAATGAAAAAAAAAACTATTTAATGAAATGTATTTATGGTAATAACGTTTTGATGTATACTTCACATTCAATTCTATTTTAGTGCATAAAAATTTCATAATAAACATCCATACGATTTTTTTGTATTTTTCTACTAATAGACCTTTTTGTACCTGAAATAAATGTGAATAAAAACCCGAAAACACACTTTAAAATATTTAATTATTTAATAATAAATAAAAGTTATAAAATTAATAATTATATTAATTAATTTTGTATTAAAATATAAAATTAATTAATTTTATATTTAAAATACGTTAGTTGCTACTTTTCATAAACACCCCTTACTTATTATTTGTTAAACAATTTAATACTGTACATTTTCAAAGGGACAAGACTCGCATGTTTTTTGTCTGTAGTTGTTCTTGGGACCCCCCTTCTAAATTGTAGAATACTATGTCACTGCACTGTCGTCAGATGTACTAGGCGCGGGTATTTCGCATTTGATGCCTCACGTTGCTCCCCAAACGCCAACAACCCG